TTGATGTCCGCTTGTAAAAGCTGAAATCCAACAAATGCTTTGATCCATGCTACATCTCCGTGTTGGAAAAGCCCTTTCATCTCCGTTCATGATAACATCTTACCCTATTCTACGCAAATCTGTCACATCTACTCTCAAACAAGACGTCAACTTCAAACGAAAACGCGTTCTACGATGCGTCTACACTCCATCCCCATATCATTGGCGTTGACTGGTCCGAGGTCGATCTTGTTCGCCTGTTTTCGGCGTCTTGACGCCCGCGCAATGCGAGCTTGTACCTCTGCACTCGCCGAGATATATCGTTTCCCCTCAAAGACTCGCACCAGACACGACACAACAAGCGTTAGAAGGAAGAAATTGATTATCGATCCCAAAACAGACAAGTCAACGGTTGGTTGTGGCTGCGCAAAGGAGATGAAAAAGTCTTCCTGAGACTTGCAGCCACAACACGCCGACGAATCTGACTTGATAAATGATTGTAAAGGAAACCAACATATAAACACGATATCAGTCCTCGGCCATAGGCTTACACAGAAAACTAAACAAGCTAATCTCGGGAACAAACCGATAATCCATCAGAGACACGTCAACTATTATTGCTGCGCAAAGGAGATGGAAAAGTCTTCCTAAGATTGCAGCCACAACATGCCGACGAATCAGAGTTGACAACGTTTGTTGAGGAACAAAACAACAATCACGATCGACCTCACCCTGGTCTACATATCGATCCCACCGATGAACTCGCACAAAAAAGCCAGAGCCATCTCAGGAAGAAACACAAAATTAATCCCAAAAGAGATATGTTGACGGCAGTGTCTACGCAAAGGAGATGGAAAAGTCTTCCAATGACTTGCAGCCTCAGCACGCCGGCGAGTCAGATTTGAAACCGATTGTTGAGGCACAAAATTAACGATGGACCTCAGCTCTGGTCTATATTTCGATCCCACCCATAAATTCGCACCAAATCCAGAGCCATCACGGGGAGAAACCAATAATCGATCCTACTATAGTCTAGACATGTCATCGATTGTGGCTGCGCAAAGGAGATGGAAAAGTCTTCCCAAGACTTGCAGCCACAATACGCCGACGAATCAGATTTGGACACAATTATTAAGGTACGAAATTCACGATCGACCTCAGCCCTTGTCGAGGAAAACTGTTACAACGTAGTCAGGCACAGTTTACCATAGGTGCGACTGCGGCAACTAGCTTTTTTGTTTTGTTGTTGAGATGAGACACAAGCGCGCCTTCGCCCCTTGTGCTCACTCTCATCTAGCACCCATCAAAGCCTGACCAGGGAGTCAGTTGATAAGAACATCTATCTGCATTTCTCTTTTCAAAGCTCGCTCGGGCCTACCGATCTCACAGCAGTGTAGATCAATCTCTGTGATAGAGCGGTGACAGCAGTGTAACCTCTGTGGTAGACTACAAAGTCTACGAGCTACAGCGGCACCGCCAGCTCCGCTGCTGCTGCAAGACGCCACATTCTGTGAAAATACAATACTACTGGTTTGGGGGATACCTTTCCGACATTTTTTTTGCACTTAGGGGGGGGTCTTTGGTCTTCATTACCAAGAAAAAAAAGCAACAAGCAAGCATAGGTTACAGGAGAGGTATGCGCGAGGCGCAATAGTATGTTAGAATCGTACATGCATGTACGGCTACGGCCGAGAAGAAAATTGCACAATTTGTGGTGGCCGAAAAAAAATTGAGGTGGCCGGAGAAAATGAGGGCGGCCGAAAAAGAAAAAGAAGGGGCCGAAAAAGGGAAAAAAACGGCAGAAAAAAAAAAACGGCAGAAAAATAGAAACGAAAGTGGCCGATGGCTCCATCGATCGGCCGTTTTATTTTCGATTTAGATACACAAACTATACTTAAATACTAATTTCAAGTAAATTTCACCAACAACTTGTGTTCCGTCATACAAACAAAACGGCCGACGGAGCAAAGGCCTAGCAAAGCCTAGCAATGAATCAGTTATTGCGCCGCATCATCGGTTCTCGCGAAACGGTCGTAGTTCCACCGCAAACCGCCCGCTATTCATCATTCATCCAACAGTTGCACCGCATCATACGTACGACTGTTGTCGCCTCTCCTCCGCTGTTTTCATACTGAACAGTGTACCTTTCGGCGTGCTTCCCTCACATAGACGATTCTCCCAGAGTCAAAATCGACAAAGGTTATGGGAGGAAGGCCACCAAGTAAGACCGCTCAGCGAAACGTGACGCCTTTCTTCGGTCATATGACGATACCGTCCACAGGTTTACGTTCAAACCGATCTCCAGCAGTACCTTCACGCCCAACACGGGAATATGATCCCGGTGGCCGTTCCGCCCCAGGGCGGGCGGCCGCCATACCCTAGTTGGTGTTATGGTAGCAGGGTCCGTTCCATCAATATGTCTGTTAGTCTCCATACTATACTAAGACCAATAATACGCTTAGTGCGGGTCTCCATACTGTACTGTACTGTGGGTTTAGTACAGGTCTCCATACTATACTAAGACCAAAAATACGTTTAGTACAGGTCTCCATACTGTAGTGTAATGGGTCGGTTTAGTCCAGTATGTACTAAACGTACTGTCCCAGTATTTAGACCAAGTACGGGCCCTACTGTACTGTACTGGGGGTTTAGTATGGGTCTCCATACTATACTAAGACCAACAATACGTTTAGTACAAGCTCTCATACTGTACTAAACCAATACTACGCCATAGTACAGCCCTCCATACTGTACTATACTGGGGGCTTAGTATGGCATTTTGGCCGGTACTGTGCTAGCCTTAGTACAGTAGTACTCAGCTCTTCCATACTGTACTGTACTATGATTTTAGTACAGGTCTCCATACTATACTAAGACCAATAATACGCTTAGTACGGGTCTCCATACTGTACTCTACTATGGGTTTAGTACAGGTCTCCATACTATACTAAACCTAACAATACGTTTAGTACGGGTCTCCATACTGTACTATGGGTTTAGTACGGGTCTCCATACTGCTGTACTAAACCAAGCAGTACTGCAAGCAGTACTAGCCGACTTCCACCAAAGGGTGTGTCTCCCTGCCAAATTCACCGGAAGAAACGACGACCTCCTCAATGCAGAGATCTCAAACACCACGCCTCCCCATGAGGATGACGTCGGCGTTGGCGAGTAGTCGCGTGTTAACTCTGACCAGTATTGAGGGTTAGGATTAGGACGCGCTGCTGTAGTGACCAGTGACGATTACAACTACTGCAAATTCGGAGGGACGGGCCGGTGGAGCATCGGGGCTTCCGGGGGGGGGGTTCCGCGTAGTGTAGATTTATATTGATATACAATGGCGGTAGGCGTTAGGTCTAGGAAAGGTCTCCATGCTGTACTGTCGTGTACTATTGGGCTTAGTACGGGTCTTCATACTGTGGTGTACTGTGGGTTTAGTACGGGTCTCCATACTGTACTAAACCTAACAATACGTTTAGTTAGTACGGGTCTCCATACTGTACTGTACTATGGGTTTAGTACGGGTCTCCATACTGAACTAAACCTAACAATACGTTTAGTACGGGTCTCCATACTGTACTAAATCCAGCAGTAGGTTTAGTACAGGTCTCCATACTATACTAAGACCAATATTACGTTTAGTACGGGTCTCCATACTGTACTGTACTGTGGGTTTAGTACGGGTCTCCATACTAAACCTAATAATACGTTTAGCACGGGTCTCCATACTGTACTGTACTATGGGTTTAGTACGGGTCTCCATACTGTACTAAACCTAACAATAAGTTTAGTACGGGTCTCCATACTGTACTAAATCCAGCAGTAGGTTTAGTACAGGTGCACAATACTGTACTAACCCCAGTACAGTATTCAGCTCTCCTATACTGTACTGTACTATGGGTTTAGTAGGGATTATCGGTACTCTCCCTTCTTCCCCTCGCTCCTCGACAAGCTTTTGCTTAGACATGGGTTGTAGTGAAGGGGGGGGTCTTTCTGGCGAGCAGGGCTAGACTCACCCTCAAGGGATGACCGAAACCTTCTTGCTGCTGCGCATATCCGCCGCGAGGCATGCGCGTGGTGGTGTAGTTGGGTCGGCACT